TTGCTCGCAGAGGGCCAGGGTTCAATACCCAGCATCCACATAGTAGCCCAAACTGCCTGTAACTCCAGTTCCAGGGGCTCTGACACCCTCATACCAATGCACAGAAAATAAAATTAAGTAATTTTTAAAAAGAACTTTTAGCCGGGCGTTGGTGGTGCACGCCTTTAATCTCAGCAGTTGGGAGGCAGAGGCAGGTGGATCTCTATGAGTTCCAGGCCAGCCTGGTCTACAGAGCGAGTTCCAGGACAGCCTCTAAAACAATATAGCAAAACCCTGTCTCCAAAAAAAAAAAAAAAAAAAAAAGAACTTTCAACGTTTCCACCTACCTAACAGCAGATTGGCATCTTTTTAATCCAGAGTATAACAGCACTGTTATAGCGCTTTTGGGTCCTTGCTAAACTTAAGCCCTGTGGTTCAGTGGAGCCGACTTGATAACCAAGCTGGCTATTACGTGAGGAATGATCAGGTAGAATACGCAGTGTGGATACTCTGGGTAGATAGCTGATTCACATTCCAAACTGGATAGAGCAGAAGGACACGGGATGTTATCGTGATGCTATGAACAGTGTGCGATTTAGAAGTTGTGTGTTGTTTATTTCTGAACTCTTCCATTTAATAATTGTGGACCCTGTTGGCCATGGATGAAGGGAAACTAAGCATGAAAGTCTAAACATTCTAAATACTTGTTGTGTGGAGTGGAAGTTGGATAAATGGGATGTAGGAAGTTCGTGTGGTTTAACTGTGAGTACTTTGGAGGCCAAAGGGTGCTGTTCTGTATATTCTTCCCCTTTGCCAAGAACAGACTGCTGGCACCTTGATGGTCTAGATGGGTGAGGTCAGGGAGCTACTTCTTGTATACAGATAAAAACCGAATGCATCTTTATGTTACATAATCAACTTTAACAATATTAGCATTCAAATGGAATGTACTTAGTTATGTGATAGTTACTGACCTATCCCATTTAATCCTCAAAACAGTTCTCTAGTACTTGCTATTAAGAGTTTCACTCTATGGATGGCAGAGGAGACAGACCAGGCTGGTATTTACTTATTGGTGTGTGTAAATGTGTGTGCACATGTAAGGACCAAAGGTTGACATAGAATTTGGCTCTTTACTTTATTTGACAACCTGGAACTTGCCAGTTTGGCCTATACTGGCTGCCCATTAGGCCTCAGGGATCCTCCTGTCTCTGCAACTCCAGTGTTGGGATGTCAGAATGTCCCAAGAATGGAGCTGTGAGAGAATTCTAAATGCTTGTGAGAAAACTCTAAGAAAACAAGACAAGAGTCTTGTGACCTCAGTTTCTTGAAAATATGGAATTGTCCCTGGAATGTGTTTTTATGCTTCTTCCAGGTGTAGCAGATAGTGAGTTTACTTCAGATTATTCGTTACAATTTGTTGTTAGTTGTTTATATGTGTCTATGGAGAAGTGTTTTGCTGCGTGCAGCTTGTCCTTGTGATTGTACACTTTAATCATGTGATTCTTCTTAACCCTCAGGGTATAAATTGTCTGATGCTCTGAATAAAACTGGCTGTTGAATGAGACTTTAGTTGCCTCATTTTAGCCAGTTTGAGAGGTAAACACTGGAATAACTGATGTGTGCCTTTGCAGCCAAGCTTTTTAAATGTGAGCCAGGATCCAGCCAGGTCATCATACTTGCATGGCAAACCCTTTTCCTTACTGAGTCCTGTCTCCAGACTTAATTTGTGGTTTGCTTTTCTAAGTATTAGTACTTTGCCATTAGAACCATTGATTTCAGATCCATTAATGAATTTTTAACAGTCTGAGATTGGCAAACATTAATAAATCAAATTAAGATCAAAGTGTTAAGTCTTCAGTGGAGAGAGAGCTCAGTGGCAATGTACTTAGCATGTGCAAGGCCTTGGATTGGATCCTAAGGTTCTCTCTTCCTCTCTCTCTCTCTCGCTCTCCCTATACCAGAGAAGCAGTGGTAGCAGGATAATGAAGGTGGTTTTTTCTTCACCACCTCATTCATACAGTTGCCAACTCTTGGTGACCTCTCATCTCCATCCTTCTCTGGGATATTTTGAAGCAAACCTCAGACATGCCATCACTTAATTATATTTTGAAGTATTTGAACAAATATCTCTAAAAGATGAATATTCATAACAAATATAAACTACACAATTGCCACAGTAATTCCTCAACATTTAATATCCAGCCTGGGTTTAAGTTTTCTCAGTCATCTTATGTTCTCTTATAGAAGTTGAGTTACAATAGAGATGGTATGTACAGGCTGAAATTTCTTGTTTCTTTAGACTCGTTACACATGCAACCTCTTCAGCATAGTTTGTTCTCCTTGCAGTTTGTGTGTGAAGGTGTTTTATTATACAGCCTACATTTTCTGTAGGTTGCATTATGTTTGGAGGCTTGACCAGATTCAGATTTAACGCTGGGGACAGGAGGAAGACTACTTCAGTTGTGTCCTCCCAGGAGGTGCGTGTCCGCGTGTTTCTTTCCTGTGGCATTCCCACCATTAATGATACAGAAGCTCTGGACCAGTGAGCTGTCTCCCACCCCTTTGTTTTACTTTGAGAATGAGCCTTTACAGTTGCCCAGGCTGCTCCTCAACTCATGATCCACCTGCCTCATTCCTTCTTGTAGCTGGGATTACAGGTGTGTGGGATCATGCGTGGTCTAGGCTTGGTTTTGTATATAAACAACCCACCATCTCAAGAACTCACTGTGGGAGATCAGGGTTAATTCCTTCAAGGACAATACTCTCATGACCTAATTACTTTGTGTAAATCTTGTCTCTTAAAGACACCATCAACCTGAACATAGCCCTTCCAGAGACAAAGCTTCCAAACTCTCTGTCCCTACTGCATTCTTCCTGCACTTTGCGTGCTGTTATTCGTCGGTCTTTGCTATGCACACCTCGGCTCACACATGCTGCTCAGGCTAAGCCAGTGTCGCGCTTCTGAGCAATGCCCTCACTCTGTCCTTTCTTAGTATTTCCTGGAGGTTTTCCCAGACTATAGAGCAAATACAGAGAGTCAAGAGCATCCTCATTACTTCAGTAGCTTACAGTCTGTTAGAAGGCCAGCTCCTGCCTGGTGGCGATCTGGTCATTGTAGTTTACTACTGTGAGTAGTAGTAACTGCTTTGTGCATACATCTTTTCATGTGTTAGGAAGCGCTCTACTATTAGTAGTTACTTCATCAATAAGGCCCTGTCTTCCAAATACGAAGAGAGGAATTACTCTCATTATAAAAGTTGCCCTCTTCTCTTGTTTTAGCAACATAAATATATTGAGAGAGAGAGAGAGAGAGAGAGAGAGAGAGAGAGAGAGAGAGAGGAGAGAGAGAGAGAGATTATGAATCATCTATAACGCATTTGCTCCAGTAGGCTCTGTTTGGTTTCTGATTCATCTCTTGCTTTTCAGATTATTTTGAGTTCTTGCCTTTGGATGGGAAGAATGTTCAGTATTGCCACATCTTTTCAATGGATGTGTGCTTTTGAGATCTGTGACATGAACTAGTTGGATGTTTCTTTATTGTAATAAGTATAAACATTTCCTTGAACACAAAAAAAATTTTTATGTTACCAAGGATGTATATGGTATTGATTTTCCAGTCCTTTTCATAATCTGTGACAAATTAGGTTGCTTCCAGTTTAAAAAGTTGCATTGTAAGCTGGGAATGGTGGCACACACCTTTAATCCAGCACTTGGGAGCCTGGGAGGAAGAGGCCAAAGCCAGTGGATCTCATAATTTGAGAACATCCTGGCCATCCAAGGTTACAGTGAGCCCCTGTCTCAAAAACCAAAACAAACACCTCTCCAACCAAAAGGCTACATGTATAATATTATATGCAACATTTTTACTTTTCCTCATATTTGCAGTTTTTTGGGGGGACCCATAATCGGAATTATTAAATTAAATATCAAAATTATAAATAAGATGGGCATAATGTCTTTTGCCTATAATCTCAGGAGTTAAGAGGTCAAGGCAGGAGGCTTGTCGTGAGTTCAAGGCCATCATCCTTGGTTACAAACCCTTCTCAAAAATCCAAAGTCAATTGATTTCTAGAAACTATAAATAAAATAAATGTATCTTGTCAAATTTCTCTTCTCAGAGTCTCCTGATGGTAACTCTGGCCACATTTTTACTATTTTGAAGCATCTTTGGTAATATAATAGCTTTAAATATATATATATATATTTATTTATATGGAGTATTAGCATCTGTTTTTCTCATTTAATTTTTTACTTCAATTTTTTTTTTTTTGGTTTTTACAAGACAGGGTTTCTCTGTATTGTTTCGGAGGCTATCGGTCCAGCCCGGCCTCGAACTCACAGAGATCCGCCTGCCTCTGCCTCCCGAGTGCTGGGATTAAAGGCGTGCGCCACCACCGCCCGGCTACTTCAATTTTTATGGGGTGCTATGAGGTACTTATGTACTAAGGATGATATGTTTTAAACTTTAAAAACATACTTTTGTTTTATATTTTTATAGTCAATCTTAGGTATTTCTTTTGTTTTTGTTTTTGTTCTTGTTTTTTAAGACAGGGTTTCTCTGTGTTGCCCTGGCTATCCTGGAACTCACTGTGTAGACCAGGCTGGTATTGAACTCAGAGATCCATCTACCTCTGCTTCCCAAGTCCTGGGATTAATGGTATGTGCCAGCACCACTTGGCTAGGTATTTTTCTTATTAGGGCTTTTTTTTATTGCCACACCCCACATACGAAAATACTGGCAATTTGACAATTATTGTCTCATAAATTTTCAGGATTGTGTTTTTAATACTCAGGATTAAAGGAAAATCAAAAATTAGTTGACCTTATTCAGAAGGAATGTTATTTTCTAGGTCATGACAGAATGTGTCTTATTTCAAATATGTAAGTTAATGCATAAAAACATAAACGATGGCCTCTTCCTTATTGTGGGATGCTGTGAAGTATTTTGCCTTCAGTTGCTCCAATTTTGATTATTTTATGACCCTTTGATGAGTCTGCTTTCTCTTTCCTCAATGTAGGGAATAAAGCATCTTGTGCTTACTGATGCAGACTGCAGACATATTGTGAAGAAAATAAACTGCACATAAATAAATACTACCAGGATACCAAGACTACAAAAATACTTTCCAGTACTTTCATGAATCTGTAAAATTATGTGACTAGAGGTCATTTTTCCAAACAATGGGGGAAAGAGACCGAAGTTCAGATACTGATCAAGAAAGAAAATCAGGCAAACACCGTTACTCTCACTATTCATCTGACTTTGGGTCCTCCACACAGTCTTCTGGCCATTCATCACCTGTCAGTCGGCCTTCATGTCCAAGTACTAAAGAGAAGAATCCCAAAAGACAGTTGTCAGACAACCAGGTGCATCATCAAAGTAAGTGTCTACTTAAAAGATCCCAGGTACCCAGATCCTAGGGACAATGCGCAAAACCCCATGTGAACAAAGCTTTTCTTCTAGGGTGCATGTTACTGTGTGCATGGAGTGGGCTGATTTTCATTTTAGATAGGCTTTGTTTCCATAAATGAGGTGCTGCTTGTATGTATACATCACTGTATCTTAGCATTTTTATGTTCAAAGTCACACAGAGGAGAGCACCAGAAGGCTGCTCATTTTCTCTCTTCCTAAGGAGATGTCTTTCTTGTGATCTCAGAGGCACTTACTGTAAAGGCAAAATCTGCAAAGCAATTGCACTTCCTCTAGCCTTGTTTTGGAAAGTAACTAAAAGCAGTGATATGAACTGGTCATGATTCATCGATAACACTATTGACAGCACTGGTGGTTAGCACAATGGTCACTGAAGACATGCGGCTTAACCTGGGGATGGGCTTAGGGCTCCAGATCATCATCCAACTTCACTGAGTCAAAGGAGACTAGATCATTATTAAACAGTTTTTGTTATTAGAATGTTGCTACTCTGGAGCATGCATATCTGTGTACTGTTATGTAAGTCTCTTCATTTTAATAAATCTCTGTGTCAGGAACAGAGATTTCATGGAGCAACATGTACAAAGTCTATAGTCTATAAAAATGGCCTAGAGCAATAAGTTATAGCAAGTAAGGTAATCATGACACATTGATGCACGTAGCACAGCTATGACACCACTGCAGGTTATTGAGACTTCCTGAAGCAAGGGAGCTTCAGGAAGTTGGGGGCTGAGAAGAAAACAGAAGCCACATAATGAAATACCCACATCCCATGCTAACAAGCTATACTCATTATTTTTGTGGGTGACATCTGTTGGACTGATTTAAGAAAGGGTATAATTAAATTTGCATTAAAAATAGTTGCCTTGAAAAATAATGTTTACACATTAAAAACTACAAAGAGGATCAGCCAGGTGGCTCAGCAGCAGGTTAAGCATATTTGTTCCTCAAGCCTGATCATGTGACTTTGACTCAGGAACCGTAGAGGAAGGAGAAACACAACTCCACAAACACCAACTTTGCCCTTTGATCTACAACATATACACATGCACCCTGCAATGATAATAATAGTAGTAATAATAATAATAATAACAAAGAAGAATAGAATCTCAAAGAATGTGTATCCACATGAGAACAACCTGTTCATGGATCCCAGTCCAGTGCCTCAGGATGCCCATCTGTTGACACCTGAGTGGTTTTCTTGTTTGATTGTCAATCCTTTTATACACACCTTCTATACACATCTCTTGTCAAGTTGAACCTTAGAAAATGCCTGGTATTCCCAAGGATATTTACCTGTCTAGGGTAATGTGGGCAAGAAGCACATTAGTTTTCTGTTTCTCTCCTGGAAGTTCCCCAGTTAAGGCCTCAAAGCTTTGTAAGCTTTACCTTATTTGAGAAGATTGTTGAAAACAGTCAGACCAGTGGAAAAGGATTCTAGCAACAGTCAGAATTTTTCAGTTATTATCTCCCCCTGCCTTGCACAGCTTTCTGCTCTGTGATGTCTTGAATTAAAGTTTGAGGTCATTTGTCTGCCTTAGACCAAGCAACAGAACCAAACTGAATTTGTCTTAGTTGCTGTTCTATTGCTGTAGAGATTCCATGACCATGACATCTAATTGGGGACTTGCTTACAGTTTTAGAGGGTTAGCCAATGATCATCATGGCAGGGAGTATGGTGGCAGGCAGGCAAGAGAGAGAGAACGAGATGAGAGAGAGGGAGGAGAGAGACGGCCTGGTGACACACCTCCTCCAACAAGGCCACATCTCCCAATCCTTCCCAAACAGTTCCACTAACTGGGGACCAAGCTTTCAAACATAAGAGGCTGTGGGGGACCATTCTGATTCAAACCACCTCTCTCCCATTCCTGGTACCCACTTCGGCCATGGTTCCTTTTTTTTTTTTTTTTTTTTTTTTACTATGATAAGACAGCATCCCAAGGAAAATCTTACAAAAGAAAGCATTTAACTGGAGGCTGGCTTACAGTTTCAGAGGGTTAGTCTTTGATCATAATAGTGCTGGAGAAGTCAATTGAGAGCTTTACATTCTGATCCACAGGCAGCAGGTAGAAAGGGAGATGGCCTGGTGTGGGCTTTTTGACTTGAAAGTTTGATGGGAAGACCTGTGTATAAGTCAATAAAGCACTGTTGGCTAATAAGGAAGCAAGATAGGTGGGATTAGGAGTCTAGGAGAATTCTGGGAAATGTAGTGAACTGAGCCGCCATGTGATTTCCGGGAAGAGGGGATGCAAGTCTGAATTCTCGAAAAGATAAGTCCTTATAAACATATATATTAGTAATTATGGGTCAATAATTAAGTCAGAGCTAGCCAATGAGAAACAATAGCTAATGGCCAACAGCTTCATAATTAATATATGTGTGTTATTTGGGGGTTCAGACAGTTCCACGGGGCCCAGGCAGCTGGTGGGAAAGGCAGCACGTTACAGAGGTTGTTTGTTTTTGTATTTTAACCTTTTGATAGGCTTTTAGATCTCTCTTTTAAAGAGTAGTTGTGAGGCTTAAGCTCAATAAATTTTAATAAAAATGCTTTAAAAATTTTGAGAAATGTTATAATTTAGTGTGTATACTTCAAGGATTTTATGTGCTTTAAAGTGACATTTGTTTTGTTTATATGTGTATGTCTTTGTTATGCTTCTGTCTGTGTGTATGTGTGTGTGTCATGTGTGTATGTATGTAGAGGGTGGAAGACAATGTTGGGTGTCATTTCTCTGGAGCTATCTATCTTGTTTGTTGAGACAGTAACTCTTCATGGGTTTACAGATTGCCCAAGTAGTCCTGACTGACTGGCTGGTGAGCTGCAGGATCTTTCTGTCCTCACCTTGACAGTGCTGGGATTACAAGCTCACACCACCCACACCTGGCTTTACACTGGCTAGGTTTTTCATGTGGGTTGTGGAGAGCAAACTCAGGTCTTTGTGCTTGTGTGACACATACTTTGGGAACTAAGCTATCTCTTATCCCAAAACCTCTCTAAAGAAAAATGTATCAAGACATTAAAACATTCCTGGTATTTAATTTTTACATAGCCCTGGAACTTGCTATATATACTAGACTGGCCTTGAACTCAGAGACCCACTGCCTCTGCCTCCCAAATGCTGGAATTAAAGGCACGTACCACTGCACCCAGGCTATAAGATCATTTTTTTAAGGACAAAAAGTAAAAGTTATGTAGATCCACATGTTCTGAATGGATAAATAGTGACATGGGTATGGCCTTCACTCACATTATTACTGTTTCTTTTTTAGCCCTTAAGAAAGTCAGCCCTAAGGCTGAACCCATCAGAAGGGGAATCCGAATCGGATTTCGGTCCCAAAGCCTCAACAGAGAGCCGCTTCGGAAAGATCCGGATATCGTTACAAAGCGGATTCTGTCTGCGAGGCTTCTGAAAATCAACGAGCTGCAGAATGAAGTGTCGGAACTGCAGATCAGGCTAGCCCAGCTGCTCAAAGAAAACAAGGCTTTGAAAAGTCTTCAGTTTCGTCAGGAGAAAGCACTGACCAAGTTTGAAGATGCAGAGAGTGAAATCTCCCAACTTATACTGCGTCACAACAATGAGATTACTGCACTCAAAGAACGTTTAAGAAAATCTCAGGACAAAGAACGGGCAACGGAGAAGAGGGTGAAAGACACTGAAGGGGAACTATTTAGGACGAAGTTTTCCTTGCAGAAACTGAAAAAGATCTCCGAGGCTAGACACCTCCCAGAACGAGATGATTTGGCCAAGAAACTGGTTACGGCAGAGTTAAAATTAGATGACACCGAGAGAAAAATTAAGGTAAAATTGTATGCCTTCACGTTGTGTTCTGTGGCTGGTACTCACTGGGCATTTTAGGACTCTGATTAAGTAGCCTGTTGTAGTTTGGCCTTTGCTTAGAGCTGGAAATGCATTTTAATATTGTTTTTCTTGGATAGAAATCAAGGACAGATCCAGGGTGGCAATTCAGGCTTTTAATTCTAAAACGCAAGATGCTGAGGCATCTTGGTGAGTTTGATAGCAGCCTGGTATACTTTCTAGGCCAGCCAGTGCTACATAGTGATTGACTCCTTGTCCCAGACAACAGAACTGCAGATGAAATCATGGACAATTAAGGATGTATATTTAACAGCTAGGGAGAGAACTTAGTCTGTGAAGGAGTTGCTCTACAACATGAGAACCTGAGCTCCACCCCCAGCACTTCCATAAAAATGGCTGGGTATGGTAGGTGGTGGTGGTGCAATTTCAGTGCTGGGGAGGGGAGGCACAGACAGGCACATCTGTGGGACTCACTGAGCCACTAGCCTGGTCTACTTACTGAACTCCAGGTACGAGGGAAAGGCCAAGGTGGACAGCTGCTAGGAATGAAACCCAAGGTTGATCTCTGGCCTCCACACATGCACACCCATGTATGCATACCGTCACTTACACAAAAGAGCATGCATTTAAGCGCTAGATGTCAAAGATTGTATGTATCATTAGTAAGCCACATGCTGATTTCTGGAAGCACTGTGTTTGACTATTTGATTGTCTTTGAAGCATAGTAACCACCCTGTACAAAACATCTCTTTCCATGAAGTGAGAAATTCGTGAGAGAGGAGAAAGATCATAAAGGGGCAGAGAGAAGGTCATGCAATATCATAACAAAAAAGCAAAAGTAAAAAGGGGGCTACCTGGGGGCAAAGAAGAGAATCACATGGTTTAAGGGACATGGGGGCAGTGGAGGAGGGGAACAAATGAGAAATATGATGGGACATGGGTATTAAATGGTTTTAGTGAAACTATGTGGGGCCCTTTGTATAAGGAAACCTGCACAAACAACTGTGTGAGGGTGGGGTGGGGCAGAGACAGGCCTGGTGTGGTGGCATGTGCATGTAATCTGGGCATTTGGGAAGCTGAGGAAGGACTGAGTTCAAAGTCAACCTAGACCGTAAAGCCAAACTATGTCTCTTAAAAATAAGGATACTGGCTTCTTTGTTTGTTTTGCTTTTTTTTTAACCTATTTTGAGATCATTGTAGATAGATATGCACTAATAGAAAGTTTATGGGAACCATTATGCATTAATAGAAACCATATTACAAAATGCATTTTCCCCATATTTTATAATCATCACACAATAGGAGAGTCAGGGAGTTAGTTCTAATACAGGGAAATGATCCAGCAAACTCCTCAGTTTTCCCCGGCTTTATTTGTACACATATGTATGTTTGATTACATGCATGGGGTTTGTGACCATAGCTCAGGTCAAGCTACAGATCAGCAATACCCTTTATCCTTCCTTCTCTAACCTGAGGCATTCACTACTAGGCATGTCTATAATTCTGTAATTTCAAGGATGCTGTATAACTGGAGTTGCTTATTGTATAGGCTTGATGCTGGCACCCATCACTTTCACTCTAATGATAGCTGTTGGATGAGTAAAAGCTTTGATTTCTGAGAAGTACTTGACAGTGTGGTGACAGAGTGTCGTGGTATAACCAATTGAAGGATATTACCTTTAGCTTTTGTACTAAGCAGTAAAGCTGCTAAGACCGTTTGTGTACAGATTTTCTATATGAACATGGCTTTCATTTCTCTGGGATGTGTACCTAGAAGTACATGTGCTAGATTGTAGAACGTCTGCCTGCCTTTGTCAGAAACTGTCCCCGCCTTTCTATAGTAGCCCTGCCGGTGGGCGTTCACCTCAGTGCCTCTCTGCTCTGGTCCTTCTCCTCAGCATTTGGTACTAACCCTGTTTTAACCCGTTCTCACAGGCCTGCAGCACCCTGTCCTGCGCTGCTAAACAGCGCTTTCCTAAGGTGTTGGAGTTGAATATCCATTTGTGATTTTTATTTAGTGTATTTTTATTTTGTTCTTGGTGGGGTTTTTCCTTAACATTTGGTAAGTGAATTATTTCGCTCTTCTCTCTCTCTCTCTCTCTCTCTCTCTCTCTCTCTCTCTCTCTCTCTCTCTGTCTCTGTGTGTGTGTTTTGTTGACTTTTGACAGTTCTTTTCTTACACTCTGTAACTTTTCTTACCGTCTTTTTGAAGATTTTTGTCAATCTGTAGCTTCTTTGGGGGAGGTATTATCACCTGGGTGACATAAATTTGTCTAAAGTATTAAATAATATTTTTATATATCTTTTCAGTAAATATAAAATAATGTGTTTAACTGTGACATTCTCAATCATCCTTGGTGTCCTTTATCCCTGTGACCATGTGTACTATACTCAATACTGTATCCCTTTCCTCCTCCCCAGATAAAGTCCCCCCTCACTATTCTTCCCCTTCCCCCTCCACAGTATCCATGTCTTACTACCCCCTCTTTAGAGTCGCCACTTCCCCCACCCCACCCCCATGACCCCGGACTCTTACTCCCTTCCTGGTTTCTGCATAGACTCTAGGTTGTAGACTCACAACCTAGGATTCACATATAAGTGTATGTGCCACTTGTCTTTCTGCCGCCTGGTAACCCACTCAGTGTATTACCTTCTATTTCCATCCATTTACTGGCAAATTTCATTTTTCTTTACAACTGACTAATGTTCCATAGTGTGTGTGCATCACACTTTGATTATTCATTCATCAGTTGAAGGACCTTGAAGTTGTTTCCATTTCCTAGCTATTGAGAACAGAGCAGCAATGAACATGGCTGAGCAAGTGTCTGTGGAAAAGGATATCGGGTCCTCTAGGCATATGCTGAGGCCACATGGGATGTTTAGTTTTTGTTTTTTGATGATTTTCAGAATAATTGGACCAGTTTTTAAGAACAACAGCAATGAATGAGGGTTCTCTTCCCCCACATTCTCTCCAGCCTTGGCTGTCATTTGTTTTGTTGATCTTAGTCATTATGACTGGGGTAAGTTAGAATCTCAAAGTTGTTTTGATTTGTATTTCTCTAATTTCTAGGAATAATTTTGATAGTTTTATTTCTTCTTTTTGAGAACCCTGTTCAAATCCATAGTCTACTTTTAAACTGGGTCTTTTGTTTCCTTGACTCTGTTTTTTGTTTCTTTAAATATCGTAAATATTAATTTTCTATCAGATATATAGATGACAAAGATCCTCTCCCACTCTGTGGGCTTCCTTTTCATTAGGTTGGCTGTTTTCTTTCCTATACAGAAATTTTCTAGTGTTATAGGTCCCACTTGTCAATAGTTGGCCTTATTCTTGAGCAAATAGAGTCCTATTCAGAAAGTCTTCTCTTAGACCTATAAACTATAAGGTATAGACTATATTTTCTTCCAGCAGATTCACCATTTCAGGTTTCACATTGAGGTCTTTGATCCATCTGTGGTTAAGTTTTATGCAGGGTGATATGGGTCTAGTTTTCATTCTTCATATGGACATCAGTTTCCTCAGCACCATTTGTTGAAGATGGTATCTTTTCTCCATTTTTCTCATCAAATATGAGGTGACTGTGGTTACATGTCCTCATGTTTGCATCTCCTGCTTTGTTCCATCGATTTCCATGTCTGTTTTTGTGCCAGTGCTATGCTGTTTAATCACTATAGCTCTGTAACCTAGCTTATACCTCCAGCATCCTTCTTTATCTCAGGATTGCTTTGACTTTCTGGGTCTTTTGTGGTTCTGTATGAGCTTCAGGGTATTATTTTCCTTTCTGTGGGATTTTAGCTTTCTTTTATTTCAGTGTAGATTGTTTTAAATCATAGAATTCTGTTTTTAGGCTGGAACTTGGGAAAGACAGCTTTAGATTTATAAGGATGTCGGGCCACAACTTTTACTCTTCTCATCACATGCAGTTATTGAAGAGTGGAGGGGGACCTCCTTACAGTATTAAGTTTAACTAGTTGAATGTCAATAGCCTTTTCCCATGTATAGCAGCCTATAATTTGGCTGCTGGTTTGTTTTGTTATTTAATGTGAGTGACAAGGTGCATGGGAGCTTGGTAGTTTAGGGGTGCAGTCGATAGTTTAGAAAGGGGTATGTGTTTACAGAGATAAATAGTGAAAGATTTCAGTGGAGTCAATTGCCTGACAGTTGTCCTCTCCCTTTAGGAATCAATTCACCTATACTAACTAGTGTTTGTTCCAGTCCCAGGACATACCAGGGTGAACTGCTTGATGCAGTTAGTCTTGCTGAACACTGTATAAAGGGCTGGCACCTAAATCAGACCACATGTTTAACCTTCATTTAAAATTACTGTACACGGTTATTTTGGGTTCTATATATGTGTATATATATATTGCATAGAAGCTTTCAGAATGCTTTCTCACAGGAAGCTTGCAATTTTTTTTTCAGATGCATAGCGCATTGTTGTCTATAGTTACCCTTCAGAGGAGTGGCACACTGTTGTCTGTGATCACCCTTCTGCATGACAGCTCCTTGTTGAGTGTAGTCAACCCTCCGCATGACAGCAATTTGTTGTCTCTTTTAGTCACTGAACTGTGTAACAGCACACATTAGCAATGTATTGAACAGTTCTCAAATCCCGTTTTAATGTATGCTCTTTAATAGATTAATACAAATTTTAGTACTTAAAACCTGACTTTGAAAGTAGAGAGAAGCATGCTTTAGTTGTAGGATGCAGAGGTTTTCAAACTTCTAAAAATTATCAACAACCCTTCTCCAACAAAGATTTTGTTGGCGGGTTTCTTTGCTGATGTTTGCCATGTTAGGAATTCAAAGTTTAGAACATTTTAAAATATTCCTTAACACATTAAACACTGATAAATAACTGGTTACATTGCATTATAAAATATTTCAGTCTAAATGATAACTGAGTGGTTAAGAGCACTGGCTGCTCTTGCAGAGGACTGACCAGGTTTCAGCTCTGAGCACCCATGGGACAGCTCACAAC